ATAATATCTATATATACTACCTGGTCTATTATTATAGTAATACTATGCAAGGCATAATGTAGGATATATAATAATATATATATATATATTATATATATATATATATATATATAAATATATATATATGAAATTAGGAAATGAATATTGTATTACAGTACCTTCTTACAGTGGACACACTACTGCAAAGTGTACTTTGCTCCTGAGTGCTTGTAGTTTTTGAATCCAGAACGGTAGAATGTTGCACTGCCAGCTCAATGTTAACAGGCTTGGTACTGGTGTTGACGAGGGGATGAGCAAAGTAACCAATGATGACTCCAACCACCAGGGCAACAATGACAGACAGTAGACACAGACCTGATAAATGAGAATATTGAATCCCAGACAGTTAACTAAAAACGTCACATGCAGGCAAATCACACTGACCAATTAAACCCTGCATTTTAATAAACTATGGCTACCATAAAATGTAAAACTTTTATGATAGAAAAGGCATTTCATGCATTTTTTGTAAACTTACAACAACCTGCATGTACATGCAGTCTGCTTGCAAATGAGTAGTTCATTTGTACACGTACATCATACATATTCTAGGAGGATATAAATGAAACGGTATGAAACCACGCTTTTTCCCCGGGCACAATGGGTCCGATATGCGCTCAAAACTAAAGCCAATTTGTGATGTCCCATTAATCCTCCAACATGCCTAATCGGCATGCCTTAGTTTCCACCTGTCTCAATACAGTCATGCTGTGTTTTCACAGCTTGACGTATACGTCTCCAAACTAATTAGGTGTACCCACAGGTATACTGGAGCTGTTTGTGACATGCATAAATGACTCCAACTGTCTAATTAGCAATCAAGAATGAGATGCTAACGAATGAGAATGGGGATGAAATGCATGAATACCTGGCATGACTTCTGAAATTCCTAAGGAAAACCCTGAAACCTATATTTATATAGTGAAATAACTCCAATTGTAGAAAGGTTCATGACCAGAGCCATATGCATGCAAGAATTTCAATCTACCTAGTGGGACAGCACGAGGCCGCCTAGCTTGACTTGGCAATGTATTGAACATAGACGGATCCCAGTCTCCAGTGTCAGCATCATCATTCCTCACCTCTTCTAGGTATAACATGGACCTCTCCTCTGCCATTTTTGGGCTAAGAATTCACATCTGCGGAGCAGTAAAGAGCGACAAGCATTTTTTAAGGTAATATAATGTTTTATTGATCACCGGTACTGGTACTGATTATACTAACTGCTGGTGGTAACAAATTCACGAGAGTGGTTTTGTACGCATTCACTGTGTTCTGAATAAAAAAATGTTGCTTTAATACAACTCGTACCTTTTGACAGTTATAAAACGTAAGGTAATGTAAAAATTGGATCATTTAGACTCGAGTGGTCAACTAACAGATAACTGTTGTAAATCTGGCACAAAGTATTTCAACAATTTGGAGGTTTTCGCACAATTCGGAGTTGGTGCCGCTTTGACAGGGAGGGGGTTAAAATGGTGATCAAAATTTGCAGTCTATATGGGTGATTACCATGTTTCTGCACCTCATGTCTAACAATAGACCTCCCAAAAAATTCCTATGCCGGTCTACTATTTTGCTACTAGTAATAGTAGACAAAGACCTGACCAGGCTCTACGCCCGTTTCATGTCTCACCGTCTCAAGGCCCCTGCACACAGTAAGAATTCGGTGCGCGCCAAGTGCGCTGAGCCAAATTTTCACCGTGTGCGGTTTACGTGAGATTTTGGTCACTCGTGCAACTGAGCAAAATATCTATCATGTTGGATTTTTCTGGCTCCGTGAGGAAAGTCTCAGCGTGTGCAGGCTGGCGTGTACCACTTGCTCACACAACCCAAGCAATGCGCATGTGTGACTTGAATTCCAAAATGGCAGCGCTCAGTGAAATAGTATCAGATGAAATATTATTGGAGTATAAATTCGTCACGTGATTAATAACACCGCCATTCTGCCGAATTCTAGTGCGCAGCATGTGCGAGGAGGCTATAGTAAGCAAACAGAGCGCGCGTTTACCTCAGCGCTGTTGGCGCGCACCGAATACTCACCATGTGCAGGGGCCTTCACATAGTGAGAAGTGAGAAAATAACTTGATGCTAACCAAGAAAATACTTTAGAACAATGAACATGTCAATGACACTGTAGCTCACCACAAAAAAAAAGAACACAAATGAGTGAGTGAGAAGAAGTCAGTTTTAATTGAGCAACCATCGATGTACATTATAGAAATGAAGAGTATATATATGGGAGAACTCCCATTATATACTCTTGATAATTATGTGTAATTTTTTATACATGTGAAAATAATAAATAATATTATATATAAATTAAAAATAATTTATAAACAAAAATGAATCACAATTTGTGACGGTAGATGGTGCTATACCCGCTTTGATGTTTCTTAGCATAAATCATTATATCATAATAATAATAATATAATAATAATAGTATAAATCATAATATGTTCATAGCAGGAATTTTGCATTAAAGATATTGTCAATGAAATCTTGTAAAACGAACCAGACGAGTGTGACACAACAGACTGTTTGTTATCTGCGTGCCTATATAATATGCTATATAATTGCCAAACCCTACCTAATTTGCATAATTTTTTTTTAAATATCAAAACCCCTAGCCCTTATTCATTCACATACCAAAAATGAGCAAAATCCGTTGAACCTGAACTGACTAATGGCAATTCCAATTTTTGCCAAAAAATTGTTGTGGCTCGAAAGTACGTCGACTGGCGTGCTCCAAAATAGGACGTTTAATATGGGAGCATAGCAGTAACAACTATACCCAATTTCAAACATGTGGGTCGAACGGTTCCTGGGTTATCGTTGACCGTAGCCAAATGTTGACGGACGGACGGACGGACGGACGGACGTACGACGACCCATGGCAATAGCTCAGCTTGACGATGTCAAGGTGAGCTAAAAACGGAGTGTGCCATTTTCATGGTAGTTTGTTGATGTGGAAAGCGAAATTAGTAGGCGATAGAAAGTACTTAAACTTAAAGGGACACATGACCCTAGTAGGTTCCTTGCATATTTTCAGTTAAAATAGGTTTAAATTACTCTACATAAAAAAGTCATTGTTCAATATTCATTAGAAATATTTTTTTAACCGTTTTACAACTAACGGCTGTATCGTTGCTACCAACGACGGTGGCGCCACTACTGCTCATAGGGTCTATGTCCCCCAGGGTACTATCGGAGGGTACCCTGGGTACGGTTCGATATATCGCAACGTACCCTGGTAAGTATCTGATATGGTTAGGGTTAGGGTTAGGGTTAGGGAGTAGGCGACTCCCTAGACTCGTTAGTGAAGTAGGCGAGGTACGTAATCAATTTAACGAGACAAAGATGGCGGCGGTGGCGCCAGATTTCGAAATAACGCCTTGCGAAATAAATTCACGATTTAAGAGTTTAGATGAGCTAGAACCCTAACCCTAACCCTAACGCCAAAAAGGGGCTTCAACGAACGACGGATACCGTACCTCCAGCCACTGCGAATGATAATACGATCTGCATATCGTTCTGAGTATACGGCAGTATTAACAGGCATCAGGATATGCAGTGTATACGCAATACGTTTTTGTCTACTTTCTATTTGCATTCGTGGACCGATTAGTTTACGTTGCAGCTGACCTCAGGCTTAAACACTAGGCTACTGCGGCATTCACGCCTCAGTGTGGAATACGGCGGCACACGAAAAGTTAAAGACACTGAAAATCTGCAGCATAATTTTAAAGACACTGAAAATCTTATAATTGCTTGATTTAGTTCAATGGGAGTCATACCACATTTGTGGGTACCGTATAGACGTCCTTGACTCTTGAGAGTTCACGAACGCAAACAGAAAGTAGAACAAAAAAAGGGTGCAACACCACTTTAGGCACCTTAGGTATCACGAAGTGATGCACAGATTTCTGTGCATCATCAACTGATGCACAGACTTTCCGTATATCAAGGAATGATGCATAAAAACCCTAACCCTAAACCTAACCCGTAACCGGGCCTAAGTTCTAACTGCACACTTCGTGATACCTAGGCTAAGCCTAAGGTTATACTTTATGAATTAGGGTTAGGGTTAGGGTTTTTGCATCATTCCTTGATATACGGAGTCTGTGCATCAGTTGATGATACACAGAAGTCTGTGCATCACTTCGTGATACCTAAGGTAAAGGTGCCTAAAGTGGATTTGCGCCCAAAAAAGTGCCGTATTGGAGTATTGCGTATACACTGCATATCCTGATGCCTGTTAATACTGTCGTATACGCAGAACGATACGCAGATCGTATTATCATTTCCTAACTAAACCAAACTCGGCAGCTATAAGCCCAGACCTCTCATAACTTAGTACTAGTACTAGTATAAAATCAAGAGATATAATATAGGACCTTACGCTGATACAACTTGTGTTTATTTACCATAATTTTATTAAAAAACGGCCCAAGTGTCGGTAGCGCCACCTATTATCAGAAAGAAATACTACTATTATACTACTAAATTTATGTTATGTGTATTTATTTATTTATCATATTTATTTATTACATTACTTACATACTTTTGGCATATCGAACAGCATAGCATGCCCCTTTTCAATAAACAATAAAAAATTAAACATAAGATCATTACAGTGATGATGCTTCTAGACTAACACTAGTAACAGGTTGTCTGACCTGAGATACTTAGGGCATAGTTAATGGTTTACATGTTATAACGACTAAAAGTGTATGACTGGATTGTATGTGCATGTGATTTTATAGTGTTTGTTGTGTGATTGTATATTTATTTGTATTTGCTGTTCTCTTTGATAACTCTCCCGATCCTGCTAACATATACCGGCCAGAGCTTTTTCAGACCATCTGGTGCCATTGTCTGGGGCCATTGGTTCTGTGCTGGTGTTTGCTGCCAGAGTCTCGTTATGACCCTGGTCAGAGCAGGTTGGGGGTCGCTCTCACGCTCTGTATCTGTGAACCTGACTTTTGGTGGTGGTGCATCTCTGATATGAGATCGGTTTCTCCGGATCTGACCACCGTTGGGTGTCTCTAATATATACGATCGGGGCTATTCTGCCATTTCCACTACGCGTGCAGGGATCCACGTTCTATATGGTTGACTTTGGTAGCGCACACGCTGACCAGTGGCTAGTGGGCTGAGAGGCTGTGTCGTCTTGTCGTGGGATTTTTTGTAGGATGTCTGCCTCAAGGTTTTCTCGAATCTCTTCTTTGTCTGGCTGATTGTTGGATATTTTATGATGAGGTCTCTTGAGCGCTCTATTTAGGTGCTGCGGATCTAGACAAATCCTCTAGGCTACCATCCTTCTTTGTCGAATATGCGAGGCTGGAGACCCACTCTGTAGGTTCTTCGACTCGTCTAATGACTCCGATAGTCTCCATCTTATCAAGCTCAGCCTTAATTTGATCTTGGAGCGCGATTGGTGTCTTCCTTGGGGGGTCAATGTAAGCCGAACGTGCGCACGCACGCACGCATGCACACGTGCACACGCACGCACGCATGCACGCACGCACGTCTACATGCACACGCACGCACGCATGCACGCACGCACGTGTACGTGCACACCTACGCATGCGCGCACGTACCCACGTGTACGTGCACACGCAGGCACGCACGCACGTGTACGTGCACACGCATGAACGCATGCACTCTTACGTACACACGCAGGCACGCACGCACTTGTACGTGCACACGTACGCACGCACGCACGCACTTGTACGTGCACACGTACGCACGCACGCACGCACGTCTACGTGCACACGCACGCAAGCACGTATACGTGCGCACGCACGCACGCACGTACGTGTATGTGCACACGCACGCACGAACGTGTACGTGCACACGCACGCACGCACGTGTACGCGAACACGCACGCACGCACGTGTACGTGCACACACGCGCACACACGCACGCACGCACGAACGTGTACGTGCACACGCGAAGCCTGACTGCATATAGCATTACAACGACATAGGTGCATGCGTATGTGGACCGTCTAAATACGAAATATTTTGTCACAAATGACCTGACCCGGAAGAATTCGTTACTAAGTTCGGCATGTGCAGACTGAAACTACGAACTGGTTTATTAGTGCACTCTAGTGCCGAATTTTACAGCCAAACATTCAAAAGAAGGCTGTTAATCCTCCCCGATAGAAGACCTGAGACGACATGCAACTTTTTTAGTTTCCGAGTTTTCGAGTTTCTGAATTTCCGAACAATATATATATAAAGTGTTGAGAGAGTCGTAGAAATTGTTTGAAGTCCAAAAATAAACCCACTGCGCATGCGTTATTCCGTGCGTAAAGTCAGTTTAAATTTAGAATTGCCAACCGTGGGATTAAATGTGTGTTATTTAGCGGAAAAATACAATTTGAATTTAGAATCCCCTACCGTGAGAGTAAATGTGTGATCTATTAAGCGGGAACGCATATATAGTCCGAGCTAGAGGGCACATGTGCTTGTTTTTCAACATATATAATGTTTTTTTTTGTTTCCTGTCAATGTTTATGTGATGATTCCAAATCCGATGTATGCCAGTTCGTAAGTGTTGAGCATTTTTTTCTAGAGCACAAAATCCAAAATGGCCACCAGAAAATACACTTTTTTTGTAAATAACGGCGATAATATTGTATTTAGACCCCAAGTATGTATGGAACATGTATATAAACTTGGGTATTGCGGACATTTTGGTACCAATACCATTACTCTATCTGGTGTAGCTATTGAGATATGAACTTTTCATGGTTTTTACGCGATAGCGGAAATTCCCAACGTGACTAGTCTGTGTTATGTTCAGGGACATATATAACATGTTTTAACAATTTCTCCACAATTCAGACCAGCTGGTTCCAAATCTGATGTAAGCCAGTTAATACAGGCTGAGCATTTTTGATTAAAAACTATTAAAAATGGCAGCCAAAAACCTTATGGCAGACATAGATTTTAGTGATTATGTATTGCCAGTTTCCACCGACGCGTGTACCCCCCCACACACATTTACA